TCATCATCATCTTCATCATCTTCATCTAATTGAACTATTTGTTTATCAATATTATTATTAAGAGATGATGAAGATGTCAATATCATGTTATCATCATTATTTTTATAAATATTTTGTATTATAATATTAAATTGATTATTATTATTAAAATAATCTTGTTGATCAATTTCAATTGTATAATTTATATCTTTAATATTATCATTCCAACATTTTTCACATATAAATGAAAATCCCAATCTATTTGCCAAATCACCTATATTATTATCATTTCCATTTATAGTAGTATTTAAATTATTAAAAATACAATGATCATGAAACCAATCATAACAATGATCACATTGATACATATTACCTGTTTCAGATTGATTACAATAACACCATTCATTACAATAATTATGATTATATTCATTTCTTTCATTTAAATTAGATTTAATTATATTACATCCTACACAATCTATTAATATATTACTATTACCATTTATATCATTATTTTTAAATTTAAAATTACCACAATCACATTTAAATTTCCTTTTTAATCCAATATTATATATAGAATGTCCATGATGACAATGTTTAGAACAATATTCACATATACCATGTAATATTAATTCATTTCCATTTATATTTGTATATATTTTATTTTCATTTATATTATTTATAATTATATTATTATTATTATTATTTAAATTATTTAAATTATTATTATAAATATTTGAATTAATATTTTCTAAACAAGTTAAACAAATATAAATAATTTGATCTTGATATCCATCCATATATGAACATTTATCATTTGAAACTGTATTTAATTGCCATTCTTGTATTTCATGATTTTCAACAAATTCTGCCAAATCAATTAAATCATTAAATTATTTAGATATTTATTTTTTATATTTAAATTATTATTTATATTTTCATTTATATTATTTAAATTATTATTATATTTATATAAATGTATAGTATCATTAAAACTAGTAATAAAATGATCATATTCACCAAATTTAGAATTATTTATAAAATAAGTATTTTTAATTGGTAATTTTTCATTTCTTTCTATAATTGTTAATGGTTCAATTAATTTATTTTTAGAATATTTAAAACATTCAAATATAAATGTCATTCCTAAATCATTACCACATATAATATAATTACCATATTTAGAATATTCAATATTTCTATTAAAAAATTGATTATTTCCAATTAAATTAAAATGATAATAATTATTATAAATAGAATCATTAATATTATTTGAATTATAATTTTCTTTAATTTCATAAATATTTCCATTTCCATTTATAGAAATTAAATTTTCTGTATTTGGATTTATATTTATAAAATGTTCAAATTTATCAAATAAATAATGAACATTTTTATTAAATCTTAAATCTCTAAATTCAATAATACCATTACTTCTAGTTAATATAATTGTATTATTATCATTTTTTAATTTTATATTTCTATATAAATCTAATCTATTATTAGAATTTAAAATATTATTTTTAGAATTTGATGAAATTATTGTATTATAATTTTTACATCTAAAATCCCAACTTGAAATTGATTTTTCTCTACAAAAATATAATAATGGAATATTTTTATCTATTTTTATATTATTAATTATTTGATTTTCTAAATTTATATTATTTACTTTTTTAGAAATATTTAAATCATATAAAGATATATTTGAATCTAATGAAGATGAAAATATAAATTGATTATAAAATTCAAAATCTAAAATTTCACTTGTATGATATTCTAAAAATTTAGATTTTAATTCAAAATTTAATTCTTGATCATTTTGATTATCATTTTGAATTTTACAAATAATTAAAGAATTACTTTCACTTGTACCTATACATAGTAAATTAGATTCTTCATTTATTTTAATTATACCTCCATAATGATTGGTATAATTTTTTAATTTATAATATTTATTTAATTTATTATTATTATTAAATTGATTATTATTATTATTATTGTGAATAGATTGATTATTAAATTGATTATTATTATTGTTATGAATAGATAATTGATTAGTAGATTCTGATTGATTGGATTGATTAGTATTATTATTAATATTAATAATATTATTATGAATAGATAATTGATTTAATTGATGATCGGAATAATGATCGGAATGATTAAATAATAAAATAGAAGGTGAGAAATGATTATTATATGATATTTTGTTTTTTAATAAATATAATGATGGATGTATTGAATATTCATATTTTGATGATGATGATTGTGATGTTGAACAAGAGGATTCATTCTTGTTGTTGAGCATTTTACCAATTTTTTTGTGTTTGAAAAAAAAATCATTAAACTCAACCTAAACTCTACATGTTCAAGCTTATAATAATAAGGCTAATAAACTAAAATTATTATTTAACTAATTATGATTCAGAGTCTCAAACTCTAAAATGATAAAGCAGTAAGAGATGGCTTTGAAAATTACAGAATATTATGAATCATTCAAAAGAGATGTTATATAAATCAACATCTAGACTTGTCCACATTCTTCGTATTGTGTCAATGAATGCAAGGTTTATACTTTCTCTCTCTCTAAGAAACATATTTGAATTGATATATGGAATTGTCTCCCTCTAAACTTGATTTGGCCAGCACTTCAAATAGAGTCACTTTGATAAGGCTTCGCCTGTTCGTTTGCTTGTTCTCTCTCTTAATGAAGCGTTGCTTGTTTCAAAGAATCGTAAATATTTTTTTATTATAAAAAAAAGCAATTGAATTGCTCTCTCTTAATTGACACGAGACTTGAATTATTTACAAGGTGGAAAATTATAACGGTTGAAAAGAAGGCTTTCCTCTCAATCAATCATTAAAAAATTAAAAGTAAGGGATATAAGCACCAATCTCTCAAAAGACTTTATGAATTGTTTTAATACGGATTGTCATCTTCTTCATCTTTTCTAAGAGTAGTAGTAGTGGTAGTAGCAAAATTATATAAACAAGAATATCTTCCCCTTTTAAAATTGTTCCCTCAATAATTAGTGGTAATATTCAAACAAAAACATCATCAACAACAAAAACAACAACCCTTCATATATATAAATAATTAGAATAATAATAACTGTACAAAATGAGTAGAAGTGCTAGTAGTTTTATTAGAAAGGAATTAAAAGTATCCAATAATAATAGCCTTATTGATGAACCAATATTAAATAATAGTGGATTGAATATGCAACCAAATCGTTCAGCTTCACCAATAATGTTTCAAGATTCTAAAAAGAAGAGACCTCAATCAGGCGGTTCATCTAGAATGAATCGTTCTAAAATTGATGCACCTTTACCTCCACCATCAATTGATGAATTAAGAGCATCATCTCCAATCTTACAAAGATCAACCAGTCCTGTTTTAAATAGAGCATCATCACCAATACAAAGATCAAGTTCTCCTATTCATATGAATAGAGCATCATCTCCTGTCAATAGAAGTAATTCTTCACTAGGTAATCATAATTCAAATTCATATAATAATACATCCAATAATAATAATACTAATAATAATACCAATAATAATAATAGATTTGATAGAAATGAAATGATGAATTTTAGATCTTCAACTGATATGGGAATGATTAAAAACAATCGATTAGATTTAGATCTAAGTCCATCTAAGATGAGAGATTTCTCTCAAACATCATTTGATAGACCAATTAAGAGAGCAGCAAGTGCAAGTGGAAGTAGAAGAAGTTCAAATCAACAACAAGTAATATCACCTGCAAATAGTGTAGTATCATCACTTCATTCCTATTATAATTCACCTAAAAATCATCACAACACTACAACTTATAATTCAAATTTTACAAGTTCTAATCAAAATACATTTGTTCCACCTAAAGTAAATTCAAGTCTAAGTAGTAATCATAGTGGTGGTGGTAATGGTTTATTTTCCAATCGTTCCTCACAACAATATTCATCAGTTAATTCTTCTATAAATGGAAATAGTCCAACGAATAGAGAATTAATTAATCAATATTATGCTAAACATGGATATAATAGTCATTCAAAACAAGAGAATGAAAAGCATGTACCAACACATTTGAGAGATTTAGATTATTCTAAATCCAATGATGTATTAGAAGTAGTTAAAGATAAAATTCATGGACTTTCACCATCATTATCTGAAGCATTTAGGAGAATTAAACAAGCAACAGGATATACAGGTGGTAAAGTTAAAAGTGATGATTTTAAAAAGGCAATTATTAAGGATTTTCATTTATTAGATGAAGTACCATCAGATTTACCAAATTTCTTAGCAGTTCAACAATATCAAAATGAACAAGTTAAAAAGATTGATGAATTTATTAGAATGGCAGATCCAAATAATGATGGTTATTTTGGATATAGTGAATTTAATAGAGCAATGGAACAATTAGAAAAACAACTAGGAACAAATACAACAACTTCACAAAGAGAATCAAGATATTGTGGTACAATGAATCATGAAGCCATTCGTAGAAGAAGAGAAAGAAATGAACAACAAATTGAAAGAATAATGGATCCTAAAAAAGAAAGAGCACCCTATGGTGTACATGATGATTTAGTTCATTCAATTAATCAAGTTAATACTTCATATAATAACAAGTTGGAAAATTTAAGAAGTGCATTTCCAATATATGGTGATACAGATAGAGTTCCATTAAGTGTTTTTAGAGAAACTTTAAAGAAATTTGATAGATATATACTTGATGTTGATTTAGATCAAATGATTGAATCATTACATGGTAAAAGAAGAGGATATATTTCTTTAAATGAATTTATGAATGCCTATGGTTTTGAAACTATTAAGAGTAAATCATTTAGAGGAAGTTATGAATCTGTTAAACCACTTCAATGGCCTGCTACATTGGAAAATCAATCATCTACCTCTGATAAAATTAGAGATTTAAGAGATAAACATACAAAGAAAAAGTTAAAAGGAAGAGTTAATAATACAAGAACAAATATATTACGTGCTGAAGAAATTAGAAGAAATGCATCATCTGCCATGTCAAATTATTCATCTCCATCTTCATCCTATTATCAAGATAGAAGTTTAGAAAATTCAAGTACAAAATCTTCATCCTTTATGAAAACTCCAAATTATTTATTATCACATAGTCAAGGTGGTGCTAACAAGATGTAATTCTTTAAATTTCTTATCTTTGAAATTATATAAATGTAATTTACCACTTTGATTAGATCCAAAATACCAATATTTACTATCATGTGGATATATACAATTAAATCCAATTTGTTCATTTTGATAAATAGTTTCTATTAATGATGATGATCCATTATTATTATTGGAATTATTATTAATAGAATTATTTAAATCATTTGAATGACTAGTTGAAGTTGACATTTTTCTAATATCCCATAATTTAATACTACCATCCATTGAACATGAAACAATTTCAAATGATGATGTAGATGATAATGAAGATGATGAATTAAGAATTGATGGATTAATAACATCTTTAACCCAATCATTATGACCTCTCAAATCACCAACTAATTGATTTGATTTTAAATCCCATAATTTAACACTACTATCTTGTGATGCAGAAACAAGAAGTGAATTAATTTGTGTCATTTTATAAACTGTTGATTCATGTCCACGTAATTTTTGTACTATATTTCCATATTCAATATTCCAAATATAGATATCACTTTCATTTAATGTTGTACTTCTTTGTGATGAAAATAAATGTGATTCATATAATATATTATTAGAATTAGAATTATTAGAATTATTTAAATTATCACTTCCACCATAAACGCAATGAATCCAACTAGTATGACCTTCTAATTTTATTAAATTTCCATTTTCAGAATCTAAATTTCTAATTCTAATAATTTTATCTCTTGAACCAGAAATTAAATTTGTTTTTTTATAATTTGATAAACTTTCTAAAGTATTTGTTTCATCTTGAAATTTTGTAATTAAATTTAAATTATTTTCATTAATTTTATAAAAATTAATTGAATTATCATGTGAACCTGTAAATAATAAATTATCAAAATTTAAAATACAATTTATATCATCTGTATGATCCATTATTTCATTTATACATTTTAATTCATTATCATTTTCATCATTTTCATCATTATATTTATTATAAATATTTAATTTATTAGAATTTGCATTAAATAAATAAATATATTTATTAAAATTATTAATATTAAAATTATTATTATTTAAATTATTACTAGTATTATTATTATTATTAATAGATACATTATCATCATGAATATGAATATCATCATCATCATCATCTATATTAATAACATCAGGTAAATCATTTAAAGATAAACTACTTGCAGCTGATGGTGATAAATCATTTTCATTTAAATCTTTTTTTTTTCTTTTAAAACGATCAAAAAATGATTGATTTCTTTTTAATTCATTATTATTGGAATTATTTGAATTATTGGATTTATGAAAGATTTTTAAAAAGAATGATTTTAATAAATGATTATTTTTACTATTATTATTATTAGAATTATTAATATGAAGTATTATTATTATTATTATTATTATTATTATTAGAAGTATTAGTAGATGAAGAGATTGATATAGTAGGTCTATGTTTGTCTTCTTGTTGAATAGTATTGTTATTATCAAGTGATGATGTTGTTGGTAGTGAAGACATTTTTTTTGATTGACGAGTGGCAGGATGAAGAGACAGTCAAGTGTGAATATGGAAAGGTGAATTTGCAATGACTTTTTAGGTGTGAATGAAGAAATTCCAATGAAGAGGTCATCAATGATTTCATATAAAATCCTGAGAAATATTAATGTTTCCTCTAACCAGTTCAAGATTATTTAGATGAAAAGATGAAAGGCTTGAGAAAAGGCTTTGAAAAAAAGAGCGCCAAAAATAATTTCCCTCCAAAATCACTACAAGTAATAGTAGTTGGTTGAGGTGATGATTTCAAAGCCTTTCTGTTTAATCACTTTGAAAAAAATGAGTTTCAGTCGGAAGGCTAATAATTCACCATCAATATCGGATGGAAGTTACAACTTTTCAAAAAGTAATGCCTCTAGTAGTATTGTAGGAACGAGTTTTATTTCAACAAGAACACAAAAAGTGCATGGAGTTGAAATTACAAGCGAATTAGTTTGGAAAAGTTGGTATGTATTGCAAGAGAAAACAATAACATACAAACCTTAATATATTATTCATCATCATTGTCATTATAATTTATAGGGAAATTGGAGGTGATTATTTAAAAAAGATTGTAGTAAAAAACGTCGGAACTGAAGTAGTGGAAGTAAAATATGAATTACCAAAATCAAAGACTTTCTTTATGGCTTTTCCCGAACCTGCAAAGATAAGTCCTGGTGTTTCAATCTCTTTTGAAGTTAAATTCCGACCAATTGAAAAGGTAATTATTTTGTATAATGATCAATTCTTAATATGTATTTAGAAAAACTATACTGATTCTGTAAAATTGACAGTTTTGAAGAAAGGAGAATTTTCTGTAAATTTGATGGCCTTATTGCCAAGAGTTTGTTTGGATATTCCNAGTTATTTAGAACTGGCAAGTAAAACAGCCATTTAATTGCAAACCTGCATATGGAAAATTACAAGTAGGAGAAACAATCACCATTAATACATTCTTTGCACCAAAAGAAGCTTCATCATATGTGTCAACTGGTATTTGTAAATTATCAAATGGAGACTCTTTACAAATGCAAATACAAGGTGTTGGTAAAATACCACACATTGTTGCAAGTGAAACAACTGCCTCTTTTGGAAAGTGTCCAATTGATGTAACTGCTAGGAAGACTATAACTGTTAAGAATACATCATTGGTACCTGCCTCATACACCATAGAACGAGTAGAAAATGACTATATTGAGGATATTTTCACCTTTGAACCTCAATCTCAAATTATTCTTCCAGGAACGACCCAACAAATCACCATAACCTATAATCCAACAACTATTGATTCATTTGATTGTAATAATTATTTAATATCTACACCAGGAGGAAATTCTGTAAAATTAGCTTGTTCTGGTTTTGGTGTAGGTCCGGAATTAGTAATTTCACCCATGTCTATTAACTTTGGAGATATTCCGCAAGGAAAGGAGGTGAAGAGATTATTAACTTTAGAAAACAAATCGAATATGGATGCTGAATATAATATTAAGGTTGATGCTGAAGGATGTTTCAAATTTGATAAAACAACTGGTGTTGTATCAGCAAGACAAACAAGACAAATTACCATCACATTTTTCCCAGAGAAACCTATCAATTATTATAGAAGAGTGTTCGTTGTTGTAAAGAATCAAGGTATTACTGTAAGTTGTTTTACAACATTATTGAAGTGAATAATCATGAAAAGTTTATTGACTTGCTGGGAACTAGTTTTACATCATCAAGGAGACCTCCTCCATTTTCTATTAAGGAAGTTTATGCTTACAAAGAAAGGATATATAAAGGATTTCCATCATATTCTCCAACAGAATTGGAAACATTTATTGAACTTTCTGAAAGTGGAAAAACAGATTCTCTTTCTCAAGAAGAAAAAGTTAATTTATCCAACTTGACTCAACTCTTATCGAATCAAACATCAACAACAGATGCAATCAGAGAAAATATTGAAATGACATTGAGAGAATATTTCTCTAATATTTCAGATTATAACAATCCAGTTTCGATTAATTATAATAGTGTTTCATTTGGAAGTTGTTCAAGATTTAGAATGGCTGAATATAAAACAGTGACACTTGCCAATAGAACCAATGGCAAAATAACTTGTGATGTTCATATTCCAACATGTGATGGAAATCCTTCTCCATTTGTTGTCTTTCCTGAAACGATTGATATTCAACCAATGAGTACCTTCTCTTTCAAGATTGGTTTTAGACCTTCATATGATAATCAATTTTATGGAAGCGAGATTGAATTTGTTTGTTATTTCAAGACAAATAGAAGTTTTAGATTGGTGAATTCTCAAACATTTGTACCACCTTGGTCTCTTCCGCTTAGAGTGTTTGGTAATACTTTTAATAACACTGCTGCTTTCATTCCTAGATATACTCTTCAACCACCAACAACAGTTACATTCCCTTCTTGTTTAACTGGTGATACAACATATAGATCCTATACAATTTATAACGAGAATGATATTCCAATGCCTTTTGAATTCATTTTAACAGAAAGACAAAGGAAACACTTTATGTGTATTCCACAAAGTGGTATGGTTCAAAAGAAATCCTTCCAAATTGTTGTTTTCAAATTTACACCTGATGAACCAGGTACATTCCAAGAGAGTGTAAATTGTTTGTTTAATGATTCTCCAAATCATACCGTCAATATTCCATTATTTGGAATGAGTTTCATGCCAACACTTAATTTTGGGAAAGATTCAAAAGTTTTCTTTAAACCAACCCATATCGGAACCACCTCCACCAAAGAAATTACTATTTTCAATCCTTCAAGAATTCCAATATCATATGAATGGGATGTTCCAAAAGAATTTGTTTCAACATTTGTAGTAAGTAAGAAAACAGGAGTATTGAATGGAAATGAAACTCAGAAAATAACATGGACATTCTGTCCTCCAGATGAAAAGGGTTTTACAATCAAAGTTCCATGTATAATATCTAGTGTTGCTGAAGTTAATAAGGAACCTGTAAGATCTAGAGTTTTCTTAACACTATTAGGAGAAGGTACAAGTGCTGGAATCACTATGGAACCAGCAAATATCGATTTTGGAAATGTACTAGTTGATGATCAATGTGTTAAAATTATTACACTTTTCAATTCTAGTGAATGTGATTTGCCTTATGAACTCATTGTTAATGAAGAATCAGAACAAGAAGAGACAGAAGCCTTATCAGATACTTCTTTAAATATTGAATCTCCCAAAGGCAAGGTTCCTGCTAGATCCCACAAACAAATAAGAATTACCTATTGTCCTCATAATAGAAGAGTGGATAAATTTATTGTTTATTGTAGGTTGAGTCAGGAATTAACAACAATGGAACAAATGATTGATTTACCAAAATGTGAAATGATTGGTATTGGTGCATATCCCCAAATAGGCATAACAGATGTAAAGAGTGAAATATATTCAAAATCTGATATGTGGCATCAATTTTCCATCAATGCAATTAATAACGAATTGAGAAAGATCAGTAATTCTGAAGATGTTGAATCAAATATTACAAACTTTAACACTTCAATTCAAGAATTGAATAGATTCTATTGTGATTTTGGTTCAAGACCAATTGATTCAGATGATTCAGTTGTATTTGTTACTTTAGAAAATATTGGTAAAGTGAAAGCACAATTCTCACTCACCACTACATTTGATACTATCGTTAATGTTGAAAAATGGGCTCACGATCAAGTGGCAAGAACAGATGAAGAGTTGAAAGCCCTCAGTATATACGTAAACAAACTCTTTGAAATTCAACCTAATAAGGGAACACTCGAACCAGGCGAAAAGGCTCTCATTGCCTTTATTTATAGACATAAGATTGCAGAGATTCATGAATTACCTGTTTTAGTACAAGTTAGAAATGGAAGATGTTTTACACTTCATATGACTGGTCAAACACTTGCCCGAAATCAACAACATTTGCAATTTGCTTCAATGGAACATGAATTTGAAGAACAAGAAATTGGAGCTGAAGATCATCCAATACAATATGTTAAAGTTGCCAATCCAACAGATCAAGATATTGAAATTAATATTGATGAATTTCCATTTAAGCAATTATCAGTTGAAAATTATGATTTTGATGTTTTAACTTTGGAAAACAAGAAGAGTATTGTTCCTGCTAATCATTTTATTTATCTAAGATTTGTTTTTAAACCTATTGAAGTTAAAACATATGAATTGAATATGCAAATTCACATGATTGGATCTGATTTAGTTTATAACATGACTCTAAAAGGAAAAGGTGTTGATGGAAGGTCTAACACTCCTTTAAGTATTGAAGAAGAAGAAGAGGAAGAACCATCAGAAGATATTATTGTAAACTATTTACCAACATCTTTACAACCAATTCAACAAGTACAAACACCAAATCAAATAGTCCATTTTTCATCAGAAGTTTTAGATTTTGAAACATGTCCATGTTTATCTGTAAATAGAAGATTGATAACAGTTACAAATCTTTCTCAAGATTCAATTACATTTGATTGGAATTCAACAATACCATTAGATGATCAACAATTAAGTTCGGTAATGGTAATTGAACCTAAAACTTGTACTCTTGCTCCTCAGGAGTTCAAAGTTTGTAAAGTTACACTCAATGTTGGAGCAGTTCCACAATTATTAGATTGTGATATTTATTGTGAAATTACAAATATAAGTAGAAGGGAAAGAAAGGACCAAAGAAAGAAAAAGTATGAAGAAACATTGATAAGAACTGTTAAGAGTTTGGATGATGATGTTTCTGATGTGATGAGTGATAAGAGTATTTTATCTATTAAGGAACATTTTGCAAATTCAAGTAATAGATTGAATAAGGGAAGAATTATTCCAAAAGCAATTTCAAAGAGTACAACAAAGCGAGAATCTGTTATTAGTAAGAGTACAATTTCTCGTGATAATCATTTAACAATGGCTGCTTATTCAACAAATATTCCAAGATATTTACCTGTTTCAAAGACAGTTGCCAAACCAAAAGCATTAGAAAGACCACCTTCACCAACTTATGACAAATTTGGGTTGCAACCAATGACAAAGACTAAATTATTGATTTCAGTTAAAGCTGTAACTGTTAGTATGGAAAATTACAAATACAGTCCTTCAACAAGAAATCAATGGGAAACTCATTACATTCCACAATTATCAAACAACAACTATGAAATTGAGAATAGATCGAATAATGCTAAGAATATCTCTGTATCATCAAGTATAGATAAGGGTATCTTTACTGATATTTTGGCTGGCATGCTACAAGAAATTATAAACGACACTGAAACTGAACAAGAAATTCTCAAACAACAAGACGAAGAATCAAGCTTATTCTATTGTGAATTTGCTGAAACACCTAGAAGTTCAAGACCTGCTTCAGGAATATATAGTTTGAGGTCAAGCATGCAAAAGTCAAGAGAAAGTTCTAGTCAACTTTCAAAAGCTAATTCTTCCTTACAAATGACCAATAACAATACTTCCAACTCGAGTACATCTTCAAGAGCATCATCAAGAATGTCAACTTCACTTTCAACATCAGCAATCAAACAAAAAACAAACAAGGGAGAAGTCTTGTCTAGTCCAGAATTTCAACAAACCCTTGAATGGATTTTGGATGAGAGCTTATTCAAAATTGTTTCGGAAATATCAAGTTCGTCTTTGAAATAAAATTTAAATATTAAATTAATTTGGAACGGGTTGTGTGTTTATTGTCTAGAGTGTAAATAATGAGGGGAGAGAGGAGATAATTTAAATTCAATTAAAAGGTTAAAATTATCAAAAGGAAAATTCCATTTGATAGAGGGATATTACAAAATTAAATCAATTCGGCAATGTTGTTAGGACATTCTTCAATAGAAGTAGAGTAGAACTTTTCGATTTCTCTCAAGGATCTAACATCATCTTTGGTGACAAAGTTGATGGCAACACCCTTACGACCATATCTACCAGATCTACCAATTCTGTGGAGGTAATTTTCCTTGTGACGTGGCAAGTCAAAGTTAATAACCAAGGAAACGTGGTGAACGTCAATACCACGAGCCAACAAGTCAGTAGTAATCAAAACACGAGAAGCACTAGTTCTGAATTCGTGCATAATCAATTCACGATCCTTTGGATCCATTTCACCGTGCATACAGGAGACAGTAAAGTCCTTCTTGTTAAGTTGTTCAGCCAATTGTTCGACCTTTTTACGTGAGTTACAGAAAATGACACATTGGGAAATAGTCAAAACCTTGTACAAATCACACAAAGTTTCAAACTTGTAGTCTTCTCTATCAACTGAAATGTAGAATTGTTTAATACCTTCCAATGTCAATTCTTCCTTCTTTACCAAAATTCTAATAGGATCTCTCATAAACTTGTCAGTAATTTCCAAAACTTCAGTTGGCATAGTAGCACTGAACAAACAGACTTGCATATCTTGTGGGAGATTCTTAAAGATGGCATAAATTTGATCCTTGAAACCTCTGCTCAACATTTCGTCGGCTTCATCGATAACTAACATCTTAATGCTGTTAACGTTCAAGTGACCACTTTGAATCATGTGGAAAACACGTCCAGGAGTACCAACAATAATGTGGACACCTTCTTCAAGAATGGCAATATCGTGTTGAACTTTAGTACCACCAACACAAGCGTGTACTTTAACCTTCATATATTCACCCAATGACATGATGACCTTGTGGATTTGTTGAGCCAATTCTCTTGTTGGAGCCAAAACAAGTCCTTGTGGTTGGATAACATCAGGAGAAATATTTAATCTTTGAAGCAATGAAATAGTAAAAGTAGCAGTCTTACCAGTACCAGATTGGGCTTGACCAATAACGTCTGCTGGTGGTTCAGAAGTAGTGATTGGCAAGATGGCACGTTGTTGGATAATTGATGGCTTTTCAAAACCATAAGAGTAAATTCCTCTGAGTAAATCTTCCTTAAGATTCATATCATCAAATTCCTTAACTTCTTTTTGTTCATATCTAGCCTTTCCGCTCTTTTGCTTGTAGTCATCTTCTACAGTTACGGTAATATCATTATTAACCATTTTTTAAATTTAAAATTGTTACGGGTAGTAAGAAAGTGGGGTTGTTGTTATTTTTTTTTCGAAAACGATTCAAACAAGATGTGCGTTGGTCAGGCTTTGTTTATTCTCTTCGCCTGCCAGCAGCAAACAACGCGTTGTGATTGGGGAACACAACTCAAGGCAAAAGATTCATTGGCTAGCGTGTTTGTTGTTTACAACCTTGCTGTGTGTGAGAGTGATGAGAGATGTTGAGAGAACGGAATGGTGGAAGAATCTTTGCAATTCCTAAGCTCCAATATTAATAATAATATTATAATTATTAAACGTTGATGCAGGGAATAGGATGATGATAAGAAGAATGATAGATAATACAATTAATGAATATTTGGAAAATGACTATCAATGTAAAGATCGAGTTGGAAAGTATTAATAGATTTGGTACATTTCTATCTTGAAGTCAACCACAATCAAGAATTGAACATTTCAGAATGTTGTTTTATTAATAAATTAATTTTGAGCTAATTATTGACATGTAATGACAATTAAATTAGATTCAAGTAAATGTAATCCAAGACCACGCATTGTAACAATTCTCTTCTTTGCTTCAATTGTTATTCTATGGTATGCATTACCATTAACAGTAACAGTACAAACTTCACTAGTTAATGGATAACCGTAGAATGTAACTTGATCCAATTTTGGAATATTAGTTTGATATTCATCCTTAACAACCTTAGTAACGAGAGTAAGAACATTTTGTGAAATACGTTTAGCTTGAATATCAACCAATGAATAAACTCCTCTTTCAATAGTTTCAGCAGTTTCACCGTCATCTAAATAAATTTGACCATTAGCATGGAATTCATGTTGACATAAAGCAATTGTAAGTTGGAATGGATTTCTTCTGGTATCAAAAGTAGTTAATGATGGAATTTGCTTTTGAACAATCTTGGCAGCAGCAATCAAAGTTGGAGTATAACCAAGCAATGGAGCATCAAATTCCATTGTTTCACCTCCAGTAGCAGAAATCAATTCACCACTGAAATAATCAAACCAACCTGGCTTATGCTTTGGAATGTATCCCTTAACACTCTTAACACCTGCTTCTAATACTGGAATAATCATTAATGATTTACCAACCATAAATTGAGTATCAATAGTTGCCAATAATGGATTTGAATCAGCATGACCGAAAACATAGAACAATGGTTGAACAACACCACCTCCATTAACATGAACATCATAGAATTGAGTATAATAGAAATTCAACAATGAATAACGATTAGCAAGAACTCTCTTAGTCATATCAACAAATTCTTGACCAAAAACGTATGGTTCTTGATCGTTGGCCTTAATATCATTGTGATTTCTAGTGAATGGATAATAAGAACCCATTTGAGTCCATCTGGCACACAATTCATAAGTAGTATTACCAATGAAACCACAAATATCAGCTCCAATCAATGCAACACCATACATTTGCATAGCTAACATACCACTAATACTGTTTCTCATTGATTCCCAAGTGGCTTCATTATCACCTAACCATTTAGCAGAAATAGCACCCAAACCAGGATAACTACTTCTAGTTAAAATGAATGGTCTCTTATTACCAGTAACTTTTTGAAGAACAGAAACAGTTGCATTAACTTCATAGAGACCATACAAACTGTGAGTGTTATAATTAATGGAAATATGTTGAACAGCATCCATTGAAAGTGTCTTCATATCGAGTTGTCTACCTCCTGGAACATATGGTGGATTATTTGGATCAAATTTGTTATTGACTTTTTGGTATTTCTTTGTTGGAGTACAAGTACCATTACAGAAACAACTGACTTCATTCCTATTTTGTTATTATTAATATCATTATATTTGATTCAATTATTATTGGTAATCCAAAGTATTGTTAAATAAATAGAAACAAAATCTACTACTTACATATCTAACCATAAACCAGAAACTGGAATTTCAGAATAGAATTGAGCAACCAAATTTTCCCAATATGGAATAGCCTTTGGATTAGTAAAATCAGGGAAAACACAATAACCTGGCCAAACAGTGTTAACAATATCAGTAACACCATCACTCTTCTTAATGAAAACGTTCAATTGTTTACCAATATCATATGGTTTGTAACCTTGTTCAAATTTAATACCTGGATCAATAATGACAACGTAATGTTGATTCTTTGCCTTTAAGTTTTCAACAAATTGACGAACTTCAGCTTTTGGATATCTAATTGGATCAGTTGTAAAATCTCTATAACCATCCATATAATCAATATCATTCCACATAGTATCTAATGGAATACCATATTGAGTATATTTAGTATAAACAGTTTTAACTTCATCAATACTCTTGTAACCATATCTACATTGATGCCATCCCAATGTCCAGAAAGGTGGCATATATGGAGTGCCAATTAATTCGTGATATTGTTTAGTAACATCTTCTGGAGTTGGACCAGTGAAAACGTACAAATCAATAACACCACCAATTGTCTTCCAAATTAAATTATCATCTGTAATTGTAACATCCATTGCATTGGAATTAAATAAGAATGCACCATGAGCACGACCACTATTAGAATAATATTGCATATAGAATGGATGAGTACCATATAAATTTTCATTTGGAGTATTCAAATTATCTAAATTCCACATTGTATAAGTACCAGGTGTATATCTCAATGGTCTAGCTCTTTCACCAAATCCATAAATATTAACTTGTCCTTGATCTTTGGATTTTTGAGTTTTATCAAAACTTGTACCAAATGAAATGAATTGATCTTCAAACTATTGATTAATTCATAGAATTGTTATCAAATATTATAACCAAATTCATGATTATTAGAAATTGTAATACAGTTATAATAATAGTAATAATAATAACATTATATATTGACAGTTATTGATAGGAGATAAACTTACAATGAGTGGAATATTTGTAGTATTGAAAATACATTCCATTGTTGATTTTCTATAAATTTCAAGTCCAAATGGAGATGTTTTCAAATTGACCAAATAATCTTTATCAGCAGGTTCATTAGCAGGAGTCTTTGATTTAATAATCCAACTTGGAACTTGCCATCTTTGTTTTGCCAAATCAGTAATTTTAATGTGAACTCTATTTTGTGTTTCATAGTAAACATCCAAAGCTAACTTTGTATAGTCACCACCATAAGGACCTCTATTATCAATACATCATCAATATATCATTGTTATCATCATCATTAGTGTGTTAATTTCGGAACTTGATGATGATTTACTTACTGTCCTTGTGTCAAGGTTAAAATACCAGAATAACCATTACTTGTTCTAGATAAATTATCAAGTTGATACATTGGAGCACTTTCAATAAATGATGTCAATAGCAATAACATTAGACTTGCCATCATCATTACAAGCGCACCACCATTGGATGATGATGCTGAGAATTTACTTGTCGACATTTTTTTTAGTCTTTTAATTCGGAGTACTCACAAGAAGAGAGGCTTTGAAAAATCCTTTATTTGTCAACAAGAAAATCTTTTATTCAAAGTGTTCATTTGTTGAATAGTAACTGTAACTCACTTTCATCACATTTGAAAAGAAGTTGTGTAATAATAGGCCTGTGGGAGTGTGTTTACAATAAAATCTGCCAGATGATGTTTGTTATTGATTGGAAGATTGTGAACGTTGAAGTGTGCAATGAGTACTCTTTTAGATAAACTGACTATTTTATTCAACATGGATAAAGTTTACAAAAGATTCTATCATCGTTGTTACTCCTTCTGCTTTGATAATGATGACCTCTTACTAAATGAGATCATCTTTACTGTAGATAAATGAATTGTAATGTTGAATAAACATTTGATAAGGGAATGAGGATGTTAAGATAGTTATAAATAATATAAAAGTCTTTTATCATTCTCCTTGCTAAAAGATCTTAATTGATGCTTGTTTCAATATTCAGTGCAAACAGTTCAAAAAATCAAATACTCCATAATATAAGAAATTGAAATGTTTAATATTTAAGAGTAACACTCAGCCTAAATTGTCTTTTCAATTTTGCATTATAATATCAACGGCTAATATTTATGAAAGAGAGAATCATTTGGCTTTCATTCAAATGAGTAAACAAAGATGAAGCAAATATGCCAGGTTTTGAGATTCGTTGGTTCATTGTATTTAACGAAAATGGATTTCTATTAGCAATTGCTTGTTGATGTCTTGTGATTGTATGAACAGATTTTCCTTATGAGCAAGTTGGAAAGTTGATGACCATGCATCTCAATTCAGCATCTGCTCAGGAAATTATTGAAAAAATGATGAGTTCTCAATTTATGTATCCTATTTCAAATTTCATTATTTGTGGCTTAACAAATTTCCAATCACTCAGATTTATGAGGATTTTTGTAATACCTATGTTGACAGAATTGAGTTTGCATTTTTTTGTAATATTTATTTACCAGACTTTAGGAAAGCTTAAATATAGGAAATTTATTAAAATAGAAAATATATAAATATGGTGATAATATAATCGGTATCTATATTGCCAAATTAAGAAATTGTGTGAACAACCATGTTGCAGAATTTGAATTTGTGTTGAGATTTTTTCTGGGAGTTTCTCTCAGCAACCTATATTGCCTTCATTACATTGGTTATTTATAATAACAATTCAAATATTTAAGCTGTGCCATTTATTCCAACTGTAATCCTTTT